TGAAAGGTACAACACGTTTTGTGTGAAAGTGTAAGAAATTGCTCAAAAGGAGAGAACTGGGATGAGGGAAAGGATAAAAGAAGGGAGATACAGCTTAAGATGATTGCACTACCAATTTCTATTGGTTTATTGAGCTTTCTCCCTCCCTCTTTATTGCTTTGTTTTTATCTTCTTTCCTATATGACACCTGCTATTTTGTTTCCTGTTTCTCTGAAACATTTAGGAATGAAGTGACTAGAGCAGATCTATTGGTTTACTGAATAGAACAGTTTATGCTTAATTTTTTGGGGGCCCATTTCATGCTTATATCTGGTGATCTGAACAACTACTCTGAAGACAACAAAATGGCCTGGTGGTATAGGAGCCTGCCTGGCAAGCACAAAGACCCTGGCTCGATCTCTGGTACTGCATGCCCCGTGGGCCCCATGCCACACTGCACTGTGCCATGCTGGCCACTAAAATTGAGTGTGGTGGAGTCTCAGCCTGTATTCCCAGTGCTGTGGAGGCTGAGAAAGGCATCACCACGAGTCTGAGCTGCAGAGTGAGACCTTGCACCAAATAAATAAAGAAATAAAAGATAATTCAATTCCTATCATCTTGTTTTCTGGAATTCTGCATTGTTTCTACTTTTATTTATTTATTCTTTGTATTTTAGGGAAGAGTCTACAGGGTGTTCAGGGTCTCACTACTTGATCAGACTTGTAGTGATTGCCTGTTTACCGCCTCTCAAGAGCTGGGATTACAGGCACGTGCCACCACGCCCAGTCTCAACTGCCATCTCAGCACACCCCGGGGGTGGGGCTGGCACAGCAAGCCCAGGGATCAAATCCCCAGCCAATGTACCTGCTTGTAGATGCTTTAATCCACTGAGCTATTTGGTCAGCCCTATTTCTACTTTTAAAAAAATTTTTATTCTTTAAAAAATTAAAACCAAATCCAAAACACACACACACACACACACACACACACACACACACAGTCCCAAAACCACTTGAAAAATTTGTTTTTTCTCTTTTTGGTGGAACTGGGGATTGAACGCAAACCCTTGCACTTGCCAGGCAAGCACTTATTCTACTGAGCCATTTCCGTGACCCCCTGAAAAAATTTTTTAAAAGGCTGCAGATCAGGCTTAGTCCAAAGGCCCTAGGTTCAATCCCTACAAATGCCTAGAAATCACAAGTACACCCATTCAGTAACATCCTCTAGAAGAATGTTAAAATCAAGTATGGACACACGGAAAGATCACAGAAAGCTGACAAAGATAAAAAGTAACTAATCTGTTATGATACAACATAGCAGGGTTTTTAATATACAATATATTTGTTTTATATATTATGGTGTATGATACTGATAAAATTGTTTTATTAATAATACTTGAATGGTATTACAAACATTCTTTTTTCTTTTTTTGTACTTTTTGAGACAGTATCTTCAGACTGGCCTTGAACTCACGGTGATACTCTTGCCTCAGCCTTCCAAGTGCTGGAATTACAGGTGTGCACTACCATGCCTGGCTCCTAAACATGTCTCTGAAGTTCTGGGCTATCTAGTATTTTCTCCCTCGGGGAACCCACTCTGAGTAACCAGAATCATTATGATCCGTAAGTGGTCTTGCTGTGCATACATGACTATGAATGTATGGGATTCATTTCCTCTGCTCAGGTAATTTCTAGGCTGAAGAAACAACACAAAGGACGGCTTTTTCAGATGTGTGGCTAAAGAAGACATTAATACTAGCACTGCTTTAAAAAACAACATAGTACATGATCTCCATATGCATTGAGATTTGAAGGAACTTGAATAAAGTTGGAAAACACAAAAGCTACACTCTAGAAATAGAATAAAAAAAAAAAAATGTGAGGGATGGGGAGACAGTTGGGTGGTCCTAGCAACTGCCCGGCAAGCATAAGGCTCCAAGTTTGATCCGATTGCACACGCTTCAGAACTCTGAGCATGCCCTGCTCGCCCCAAAACTGGTGTGGTGACGCATGCCTGTAATCCTGGCACTGGGGAGGCTGAAAACTGAGTCCAAGTTGCACAGCTGCATAGGGAGACCCTATACTAAATAAATAAAAAACAAGACAATGGTGAATGTAACAGAAGAAGGAAACAAAAAGGTGAACTTTATCCATGAACAGAGGGAGGAGACAGAACAGGAAGAGAAAACCACGAGAACACTGCACAGCCAGATTATTGGCCCTTGCTTGGTCTTTTTTTTTTTTTTTCTCTCTTTTAAACATTTTCTTTCTTTCTTTTTTTTTTTTTTTTGGCAGAACCGGGGATTGAACTCAGGCCCTTGTACTTGCAAGGGAAGCACTTATTCCACTGAGCCATCTCCCTGACCCGCTTGGTCTTTTTTTGATTTATGAGTGGCTGGTAAACGAGATGCTCTCAAAACATAGTTGAATAAAGAGCACAGGGGAGGCAGGGAGTTGAGTATCCAAAAGAATTAGGGACACATTTGAAGCACTACAAAATTGCTTAAAGTTAAATACAGGACTAATTAGATTGAAGCCTTGGGGTTGAGTAATAATAGACTCTTCAGTAGCGCTAAGAGTAAATTAATTTGAATTAATGTATTTACTTTTTGAAGGGCTACAGGTTCTGAGGCAAGCATGGTTTCTAGAGGTAAGCAATTCCGAAGGTCATCTGCTATGTTTTTCAACATAATGTCATTGTTGTCTTGAGTGAATTCATCAAAATCTCCTAGGGGAGAAAACAAAGAAATAGTTCTTTAAGTTGTAGTCATACCTAGATTAAATGATTACAATGAGTATATTGCCATCAGACAGCATCAACTTACAGCAATAAATAAACTTGTAAACACTGACACTTTCTAGTTCTAACATAAGTTCTATTAAAAATGAATTTTTCCTTTTCCCAAACTGCTAATCCAATGAAAAGCAAGACATTTAAAAATAAATAGTATTTTAACTACTTTTTTTCATGAATAGCACTTCTATTAGTTTTTTAAAACTAATTTTATTGAGAAACAAATTGCAATGAGACAGTTTCAAAACCAATTAGTAGGATAGTTTCAATAACTAATACATTGCATATTGTTGTCTTCATCGTGGTTATTCATAGAAAAATACGGAACGCTTCACGAATTTGCATGTCATCCTTGCACAGGGGCCATGCTAATCTTCTCTGTATTGTTCCATTTTTAGTATATGTGCTGCTGAAGCAAGCACTCTATTAGTTTTTAAGGTCCAAATTCACCAAGTAATCAAATTTAGGAGGCATTGCTCGGGGTTAAAAAGAAGACAGCCTTAATGTGAATATCCCTGACACCAATAAAATATATTTTCTTTTTAAAATTTTTATTTATTTGGTACAGTGTCTTACTATATAGCTCAGACTCATAGTGATTCTTCTGTCACAGCCTCCCCAGTGCCGGGATTACAGGCGTGCACCACCACACCTGATTTCTGTGGCTGGCAGGGTGTGTCTGAGGTTCCAGGACCAGCACGGCATGGGGTACTGACAATTGAGCTCAGGTCTTTGCACTTGCCAGGCAGGTATTTAGACCACCAAGCTATCTCCCCAGGCCCTTTACCCTTAAAAAAAAAAAAAGCCTCACTACGTAGCTCAGACTCATAGTGATCCTCCTGAATAAAATATTCTTAAAGACTCTAGATCAAAGACAGCAATAGCCTAACATCTGGTACCAACTATGCAGCAAACTTTATAACAAGCATATTGTTCTGCTGTATGACAGCAGAAGACAAAGTGATAATTCAGACCGTCCAGAAGCGGCTGCCAGGCTCTTTCTCCAGTCTCTATCTTCAGTTCGCCTGCCTCCACTCTAGCCTCCACCATGTCCATAAGGGTGACCCAGAAGTCCTACAAGGTGTCC